ACCCTGTTTCCTGCAGCCGGAGGAAATCCCTTCACACCCTCAGCCACGCCTGCAGCTCCACAGACAACACACCTGTCGGCAGGTAGGACCCCTTTCCTTCTGCCCTGCACCCCTGGGGTGTCCTTTTTCGTGGATCTGCCTTCCTTTCTATGGGGGCACTTCTGCCACCTGCCACACCATTCTCCCGCATGTACATCCTCTCCCCGCTGGGCAAAAGCAATCTCACTGTTGGTCTTCTGAGCCATGGACTCTGAGAATTTTCTGGACTATCTGAGAAAATTCTGCTTTCACAGTCCTGTCCAAAGATTCGCTCCTGCGGATGCCATTCAGAGAGCAGCCCCAGCAAGTCTGGTGAGAGACAGTGGCCTCTGCTAATGCAGGCTAGCATCTTGTGCCCCCAAAGGAAGTGGTTCTTGGTGAAATCTGATGTTGCAGGGAAAAGATGCTCACTCACAGGAGTATTTCCTTAAGTAGCCAAATGGCAGTCAGGCTGGCGGGAGGGTCAGGAAGGTGGTCTTACCCCTCTCCCAAGGCAGATACTAGCTAGTATGAGATGACCTCAGGGGTTCAGGGAGGCTGCCCTGCGAGCCAGTGACCCAAGTGTTGTCTGTCTATGGCAGGATGCTGGGGTTGTAGAGACCCCATGGAACCAGGTGGAGAGAGTTCTTATGATGAGTCTAAATTGTTAACCACAATTCTCTCTGCACTCTTGCAGGCGTCGAATCATCTACCCACCAGCAAGAAGGTAGGACAAAGTTCAGGCATTTGAACCAGTATATGTTCCTTCTCTTTACCCTCTAGTGGGGCACAAGAGGTGATGGGACAAAGTCGACAGAGGGCCCAGTGATGCTGGGAAGCAGGGTGGCAGGCTTCTAGTTCCTGGCACACAGCTGATCCGGGATCCACCTTAGGCAAGTCACCTGCTTACCTTCTCATCTATAAAGTGGAGAAGATAATAAAACTACTTTATAGATGTGAAAGTTTTCAAACAGATGATGTATGCAGAGGACTTAGCACAAATATATAGTAGGTGCTCAGTAAATCACACCTATGTTTATCCCGGTGTTTCAAACATGCCAATATCTGACATACAGTTGACAATATGAGAGTATAAATAAGCTATTCAACATCTAAGCTTCATAGTAAATCATCAGGCTGATTGCTGCCAGATTCTAAACCCCAATTAAAAATAAATGTGACATCAGTCTGCTGAGTAATGTCACACAATCAAGTCACAGGATTTTCTTAGAGATTTTCACTGGGGGACATTTTTTGTCTACAATAGTGCGTTCCTAAGATTATTTGTCTAATAAAGACCAGTCCCAGGGATCCCTGGTTTCTAGATGATTAGAGACTTATGAAGTCTTAGCTCTGTGAGGTATAAAGTTTGAATGTGGATGTATATTTAAAGTGGGATTCTACAGAAAAAGTTCTCAGTTGAATAAACTGCTGGTCACCTCCTCCCTATCCCTGTATCTTTACATCAGGGAAGAAGTCAAAGTCAAACACGCTTCACATGGTTGCCCTCATCTTCCCGTATCTAGTTTCAATAAGACGTGAGCTGGCTGGGGTTAGGGTCCTTGAAAACGAGCAGACCTCAGTCCAAATCCCAGTTCTGACACTTTCGAGCAGTGGGATTCTGGGCAAGTAACTTGCTCTCCCTGAGCCTTGGTTTCTGCATTTGTAAAATAGGATAAAATAGCTTCTCCCTCACCTGGTGGTGTGAGTATGAAGCAAGATCCCACAGGAAAAGCATTTGGCACGTATCTGGCAGAGTTGGCCCTTGATAAATGCAACCACAGCTACTTAAGTCAGGTCTCCTGCTTTGTCTCCATCACAGCTCCTGAGTCATTTGCTGCCTCTGGGACAAAAGAACTAACAACAATTCATGAGAAACCCCCACTACAAGGTACAGCGATACTTGAACCTAAAGCGTGAGAGCACAGGGCTGAAAGGGCTTTCACAGACGTCTGGTCTACTTCCTGTTTCCTCACTCTCTACCTACGTATCCCATATACATCCCCAATTTTAGTCCCAGACCAGACCCATCCAGTGTCTGAGTCCCCTCTGCAATATCTGCCTGATTCATAGAGAATGAGCCGTCTGGAGAATAACTGGCTGCATTTGAGTGTCACCACTTGCGAGAAGAGTGAACAGAGACTCATTTCTTCATGTCTCTGACCCTCTGATGATTCATATGTAATATGGGGATTATGGTAGAGCCTACTTGAAAGGATAACTAGTGATTGAAAAAGATCATATACACAAAGTTTCTAGCAACCAGTCCTTTTGAAAATCCTGGCACATACACAGACCTATGCGCGCGTGCGCGCACACACACACACACACACACACACACTTATTCAATTCACTGAGGCATTCCTACCTTTTTCAGGATATTTAGTGAGCACTTACAGATGCGCCAGGCATGATGAGAAGCAGAAAAGTCCGAAGCAGCAATCGTACTACTAGTAGTAGTAGCAGTAATAGCAGTAGTAGCAGTAATACTAGTAGCAGTAGTAGTAGTAGCAGTAATAATAGTAGCAGTAACAGTAGTAGTAGCAGTAATAGTAGTAGTAACAGTAGCAGCAGCAGTAGCAGTAATAGTAGTAGTACTAACAGTAGTAGTAGTAGTAACAGTATTAGTGGCGGTAGTGGTGGTAGTAGTAGCAGTAATAGTAGTAGTAGTAACAATAGTAGCAGCAGCAGTAATAGTAGTAGTACTAACAGTAGTAGTAGTGGTAACAGTATTAGTGGCAGTAGTGGTGGTAGTAGTAGCAGTAATAGTAGCAGTAGTAACAGTAATAGTAGTAGTGGTAACAGTAGTAGTAGTAGTAACAGCAGTAGTAGTAGTAACAGTATTAGTGGCAATAGTGGTGGTAGTAGTAGCAGTAATAGTAGTAGTGGTAACAGTAATAGTAGCAGTAGTGACAGTAATAGTACTAGTAGTAACAGCAGTAGTAGTAGTAACAGCAGTAACAGTAGCAGCAGTTGCAGCAGCAGCTGTGGCACCTAACATTAACTGAGCACCTACTAAGTATCAGGTGCTGTGTCTAGCATGCCACATGCATTATCTTATTTATTCCTCTTGGTTATTATTCTCATTTTACAAACCAGAGAACTAAAATTTAGGGAGCTCAGGTAACTAGGTCTGTTCTAACTTCAAAACTGATGCTCTGAACTACTCCGTCTCTCAGTCCCTGCCCTAAACATGTCCATCATCTCATGAGGATGTCAGGCCATACTCTGAGGACATCAGCACACCACCATCAAGGCGGAAGACCGGAGAAGTATACCGGAAGTAAAGGAGGAGGCAGGATTGCAGTTGGAGGATTCTAGGAAGGGTCTGGGAAGTAGGGACAGAGGGGTTAGAGGATGGGGGGAGCTTTGGCACATGCTGCTGGGAGAGTGACAGCTTCCAGGAGAGTCCAAAACAAACAAAAACTGTTACCATGGAGTCAACTCCGACTCACAGCAACCCTGTAGGTCAGAGTAGAACTGCCCCATAGGGTCTCTAAGGAGCGGCTGATGAATTGGAACTGCTGACCTTTTTGGTTAGCAGCTGAGCTCTTAACCACTGCACTACTAGGGCTCCTCCAGGAGGGAAAGGGAGGACAAAGCCCAAAGGAATGATTTCTAACCAGTGGCCCTGCGAGCACCTGATGGGGATATTTGAGGTGCATCCTGTCACATCCCCCTCCCAGGGGACCCCGTGGCTCATTTGTGACTCTAGGTCTTCCTACAAATGGGAAGGAAAGCGTAATCTAGGATTTGATTTTGCTGCACGGAGTAGTCCTTAGGCACTCTCTCTAACTCAGACTTCTCAACACTTAGGGGACAGATGAGCACAGGGGGAGTTTGTTTCACAGCTATTATTGCTCTGGCTGCCCCTCAATCCCTGCCGTATTTTCTGACTTGTTCCAAAGAATAATAATGTAGCTAGCCTTCACTGAACGCTGACTGTGCATATGTCACACAGAGCTGACTGCACTGCTGCATGGAATCATCAGCAGCTCCACCAAATGGGTATTACAGGTATCGCCATGTTTACCGATGGGAAATCAGACAGGTTAAGGAACCTGCCCAAGATCACACAGTTAGGAAGGAAAGGAACTGGGATTCAAATCCGGACAGTCTGACTCCAGAGCCTAAAGAGTCCCCCCAAGCTGGATTGCCTCCCTGTGGGAGAAAAAAGGGAGCTACCCATGAATTTCACTCCACTGGG